TTTAATTTGCATCTCTGCATCTCTCTTAGAGTTAGGGATTTTGAACATTATTTTATGTGCTTATTAGCCATCTGAATGTCTTCTTTGGTGAAGTGTGTCTTTTATTTCTTAATGCTGACAACTTAAAATATATTTCTCATCATTGCCTTTTAGTCCAGTGGTGAAGATGTTTGCTTTCTTAATGTTGAGGTGTAATTAATTTTTTTCTCTTTAAGCCATTTATTTTTACAGTTTGTGTTCAATGAAAATCAGTTATGTAATGTGTGAATTTACTATGAATCAAAGCATAAATATACAAACACAATAAACAACCCAAACAGATATTCAGCATTCAGATATGAAGCAAAAGGTAGTGTACACACACACACACACACACACACACACTTAGCTTGAGGTTTGTTGGATCTGGTTATTTCTCGTATGGAGGTTTCTAACCATATCGGGGGGGTGGAGAGAATTACTTTGGTTATCAAAATTACTGTGTTCATATTAGATAAATGGAACATCTAAGCATCAGTGCATGACCATGCAACAAAAGACTTCATGAAATGCCTATTTTTAAAAAGTTTCTGTGCGTCAAGGCAGTTGTAAAAAGTTGACTTTCCAGAATCAAGTCAACCTTAAGAACAGGTTCTAGCAATCCCAAAATATTGACTAGTACAGAAAGTGATTCAAAGAGGGTTATTCTGATTCATGTTGTTGCTTTGTTGTTATGTGCCATTGATTTGCTTGTGACTCATAGTGACCCTATGTACAACAGCCCTGAATCCTGCTTTATCCTGTGCCAATCTTATTGTCTTTGACACATCTACCCTCATTACCCTAGTCACTGAATCAATCCATTTCATTGAAAGTCTTCCTCTCTTGCGTTGTCCTTCCACCGTTCCAAGCTAGATGTCCCTCTTCAATGACTGGTCCCAAAGTATGTTAGATGAAGCCTCAGAATCTTTGCCTCCAAGGAGCAACCTGGTTTCATTCTCTCCAGTATGAACCTGTTTGTTCTCCTGGCAGTCCACAGTATATTCAATACTCTTCTCCAACACCATAGCTTAAAGACGTCAGTTCTCTTTCTGCCATCCCTAGTCATTGTCCAGCTTTCTGACACATAGCAAGCAATTGTAAAGACTTGATCAGGCACACTTTAGTCTCCAGACTGGTGTCATTGCTCTTCAGTACTCTGGAGAGATCCGTAACAGCAATTTGTCTCTTGATTTTCTGGTTGCTTGTACCAATAATTTCGATTGTGGAGCCAAGCAAACTAAAGCTGTTAAGAATCTCAGTCTCTTCACCATCTATTACAATGCTGCCAATCAGATCAGTGGTGAGAATCTTTGTTTTTTTGATGTTGAACCTCAATCCATATTGAAGGCTACAATCCTTGACCCTCTGCAGCAAGCCCTTCAGGTCCTCCTCAGTTTCAGCAAGCAGGGTTATGTCATCTGCATAACTCAGGTCGTTGATGAGTCTTCCTCCAACCCTGATGTCACACTTCTCATACAGCCCAGATTCCTGGATGATCTGTTCTGAATGTATATTGAAAAAGTATGAATACAGGACACATTTCTGGCATACATCCTTCTTGATTTTGAACCATGCAGTGTTTCCTTGCTCTGTTCTGACCGCTGTCTCCTGGTCCAAGTATACTGGCTAACTGACTGGAAGAAATCTATATTTGTTCCCACTCCAAAGAAAGGTGACCTGGCAGAGTGCAGAAATGATTGAACAATATCATTAACATCACATGCAGGCTAGATCCTGATAAAAATTATACAAAAACGACTGGAATAGCACATCAACAGAGAACCGCCAGATGTGCAGGGTGGATTTAGAAGAAGCCATGTTACTAGGGATAGTATAGCTAACATTAGATGGATCTTGGCTGAAAGCAGAGAGTACCAGAGAAATGTCTATCTGTATTTCATTGACTATGCAAAGACATTTGACTGTGTGGATGACAATAAACTGTGGCTAACTCTGAGAAGAATGGGAATCCCAGAACATTTGATTGTGAGTATGTGAAACCTATTCTGATTCATAAAGTTAAAAAAAATATTTACAAGAAGACTATAAAGTTTGTGAATTTAGGAAGACTAGCTTACCTCATGACCCAAATTCTTGATTTACAATAAGTTTGGCTCCTTCACATGTTTGCCTTTTTTATATCTAGATTTTTGTTTGTCTGACATTCAGACAGATGAATTTTTAAATTCTAAAAAGTATCCTACATATGCAGAAATGAAAGCAGCATTTTTAAATTTGGTTAGGTCAATGTACTTCATACTTTTTGGAATTAATTTAGCTCGATGAATCTGGTGCTTTTTTTGACTGGGAACAGGTGATGTGAAATGCCTGCCATATGACTTTATAAAGGCATAAGCAAAGTTTACTCCTTATGTTTCAATTTGGAGTACATTCCAATTCATCATTCTCTGACACATGTCAATTACACAAAAGTGAAATGCAATGTCAAACTCAAAGTCTCAAAGAAGAAAGAGTTCAGTTCCCAAGAAAACAGTGATTTTGTAACAATGGAAAACTTTGTCTAGAGCGTAACAGCATTAAATTAGTACTCCTAAAACAATACAGGGAGGATTTACAGAACCACCTGGCAGTTCCATCTCATGTACATATAAATAGAACTATGGAATCTTTTCTTTTTATTTTACCTAGTAATTTTATGGCCTTATAAATTTAATGAACAAAATTAAATTTAAACCACCATCCCACTCCCCATCTTTTATTTCTAGATAAAATTATTCTTGGGTTTTGTTTTGTTTTTTTAAGTCGTTGTAAGTGTCCAGATTTGCTGGGTCACATTTAAGAAAATCATCTTGTGGATGTCCTTGCTCTTCATCTGGTACATGAAACTCCAAACAAAGGATACTGGCATTTATCATCTATCTAGTCAAGCATTCTCTTCAAATCAGTGAAATCAGAAATTCCCAACATGTTCTGGGTCAATTAAACAAGGTCTGGAAGATTGTTCAACAACTAAAACAAAATCTTACACAACAAGGTATGGAATCAGTTGATTTGATGGAGATCTGGTTTTCCCTCCCCACAATGGATTTCTTGGCACCATTTAGATTGAATTGAGAAGAAGGGGAAGTAGAGGCGTTTCTTGGTCTGAGTCTCTTACCAGTAGAGATATAGAAGCGAGAGCGAGACCACAAGGAGACTGGCTGTGCACTCGTGATGCTGGTGTTGGGTGTATGCGTGCCAGCCGAGGTAGACTGGGAGGAACTGCTTGATCGTGGCATGACAATGTTATTACTTGAATAAATGTGCGTGGGGTGGATCAGCACAGGGAGCAACTCCAGTCCCAGGCTGGCCGCCATCGCTCCGCCCATGTCTGCTCCTTGCCTGTGCAGAGCAGAAGCGTGCAGGCCTCTGGGCGCTGACAGCGCGGAGAATTGCGGCTGTGGCGGCTGCTGCAAGATGAGTGAGATGTAATTCATATTAAAGACGGTCATCTCTGATCTTCTGCAGCAAGTGTTTCAAGTCCTTTTCACTTTCTGCAGGCAAGGCAAAACGCAGGTTGCTGATGAAACTTTCTCCCATTCTGAGGCCACATTCTTAATATAGTCCATCTTCTCAAACTATTTGTTCAGCATAAATATTAAATAGATATGAAGAAAAGATACAGTGCTTACACACACCTTTTCTAATTTTAAACTGTGAGGTATTCACTTATTCTATTCAGATAGCTACTACTTGGTCTATGCATACATTTTGCATGAGAACAATTAAAAGTTCTAGAATCCATATTCTTCTCAATGTTATCCATCATTTGTTAGAATCTACACAGTCAAATGTTTCGGCATAGTCAATAAAAGATACATAAACACCTTTATGGAATTCTCTGTTTTCAGTTTAAATCCATCTGACATCAGGAATGATATCCCTAGGGGCACAGACTCTTCTGAATCTAGCTTGAATTTCTTGCAGTTTTCCTGTCCATGTATTGCTCCAGCTATTTTAAAATAATTTTATTATTTTACTGGTGTGTGATTTTAAGGATATTGCTCGATAATTTCCACATTTTGCTCAGTAATGAGAATAAATATAAATCTCTTCCAGTCAGTTGGTCAGGTAGTTTTCTTGCAAATTTCTTGGCATAGACTAGTGAGCACATACAGGGCTGCATGTGTTTGTTGAAACATATCAATTGGTATCAAAAAGGGAGATATTTAGATGGCCAACAGATGAAGAAATGCTCAAAATAACTGATAAGAGAGATGCAAATCAAAACAACAAAATACCATCTCACGCTAGTATCAAAGGCAGAGTTTAACAGGATAGCAAGCAATAAATGTTGAAGAGGGTGTGGAGAAATTAGAACTCTCATACACTCTCATGTTGGTGGGATTGTAAAATGGTACAACCACTCTGGAAGGAAGTTTGGCATTTTTTCAAAAAGCTAAACATAGAAATGTCATATGACTCTACAACCAGGAGAAGACAAAATAGATGAATGGGACCTTCTAAGAATCAAATCCCTATGCACATCCAAAA